AAATTAGGGAGAATTCAATGATTTGGGATGAAGCAAGTGAGGTGGATAATATATATGTCTACGTCTAGATAAGGTAACATATGTTTTATTAATAACTCGAGATCTATATAATTAAAACTCTCCTAATCCATCATTAAATGTCAAATATTTCAAGATTAAACCAAATTCCCAAAAGTGTTAAAAACCAACAAGAGAGCAGTTGTGTTGTGTCTCTTAGTAATTTTACACATCAAAAGCAACGCAAAGCTTTAAACTTTCCTTTCTCCTTTCTTTTTCACTGCAAATTTATACCCTTAAAAATCGAAACTTCAGGAGAAGAAATTGAAGAATCAAAATTCCCTGGATTCGAGGGTTTTTCTCCACTCCTCTCACTTGTTCTCATCTTCTTGCTTCATCGGAATCGTTTGATTTGAGTTCTGCTACATTTTCTCCGACTCAAACTTATGGTCTGAATTTCACCTTATGTACATTTGTCTACTTTCTGTTTATTCTTTCGAAATCGATTTTGGTATCGCTTTTATCTTGAACTGATCATGTCATTAAGTGTGGTTTTGGTTAACTAATCATGGGGAATTCTCAAAATTTCATTTTTTTTGGGAATTTACTGTTAGGGTTTGGCTAGTTTGATAAAGTTTCTGAAACTGGTGAGAGTAAAGGTGTAAACTTTATGCTCATTTTAGGTTAAATTCTCTGTATCAACGTTCCATGCTCTGTTAGAGTTCAAGTTTCTGGTTTAGCTTATTTTTGTATCTAGTCTCTTTTGTTGTTGGCTCATATATGTTATCTTGTTGTAGGTGCAAGGAACTAGAGAAATCTGTCTACTCGCGTGACATGTGAATATTGTAGCTGAAGTAGACGTCGTATCAAACTCTTTGCTGATTTTTACATAAAGAGTGTGTCTTGATATTTGGTTTGCGATCGAGTTAAGGGTAAGCGATGGATACTGCCAGAGCATGGCTGAATAAGTTAAAGTCTATAGGAAAGGAGAAATCCTCGAAAAAGAAGGAAACTTCTAGAAGTAATGTGAAGGAAGGATCCAAAACAGTTGGAGGTGAAGAAGCTGTGTCTAATGTAACTAAGCAGAAGGCTGCTGCTGCCAAACAGTATATTGAAAATCATTACAAAAAACAAGTTCAAAGTCAGCAGCAAAGAAAAGAGCGGTATGGTTTCGTTACATATTTCAAGATAAAATTAAGTTTTTGTTCATTAGCATTCAGTTTTTTGACACCTGCACAAGTTTCTGGTATACATATGTCTGTTAGCATAATTGTTCTTATGCATGGCAAGATGGAGATTAGACAAATGTGTTGCTGACAATTAGCATTCAAAAGGAGTCTTTTAGAATTTGTTATCTTTATGAGAAATTTATCTATCCGAAATGTTGATGTAAAATCATAATGTGGATTGACAAGAAGTTGGTGTAAAACTTCTCTAGAAAATTTTGTTTTTGGGCTATTTACATCTCTTGCTTACTTCCTGTAAGTGCACCTTAGAGCATTTTTTGGTAATTGCATTTGCTGCAGACGTGATATGCTGGAAAATAAGTTAGCTGCTGCAGAAGTCTCTGAGGAAGAGCAAAAGAATCTGCTTAAGGATCTAGAGAAGAAAGAAACTGAATACATGCGCCGTCAGAGACATAAAATGGGAACTGATGACTTCGAGCCATTAACAATGATAGGAAAGGGCGCTTTTGGAGAGGTAGCATTAGTTCTATTGTAAACTTTGTCTGTCACTTCTCAGCTTTTCATTGGTGTGCATATCTGCACATCATCTTAACCGTCTCCTGTGATGTATAATTGTTAAAACATGAATGCCTGTTATGGTTACCCTCCTTGAAGGGCTTGCACCCATGTGTGCTCGAAGCACTATGCAAATATCTTCTGGGAGGATGAACCTACCTGCTATAGTTCTTGTATTCGTTGATCTTTAGTTGGCTAGTTAGTGGCCTGTAGGGTTCATGCCATCTGAGAATAAATACAAGTTTTCTTAAAAGTCAGATTGTCTTTTTGTAGTTTTCAGCATATATCATACAGTTAGCTCCAGGTGTTGGGATAGCGCTTAAAATTTGAAATCTTATGCTTCTGTTGACTTAAATGACTTATTTGGTTCTTTTCTGTTTTTCTTTTCTCTTGATGCAGGTTAGGATATGTAGGGAGAAGACAACAGGCAATGTCTATGCGATGAAAAAGCTTAAGAAATCTGAGATGCTGCGTAGAGGCCAGGTATCTCCTTCAAGCTGCTTTTATTTGATATATCTTTGTTTTCTTTTTCTTTACGTTTTTGTTGAAAATCTGATTCTTTTCAGGTGGAGCATGTGAAAGCAGAGAGAAATTTACTTGCAGAGGTTGATAGCAATTGCATTGTGAAGCTGTATTGTTCTTTCCAAGATGAAGAGTATTTGTATCTTATTATGGAGTATCTACCTGGAGGAGATATGATGACATTACTTATGAGGAAAGATACACTTACTGAAGATGAGGCAAGATTTTATGTTGGGGAAACTGTCTTAGCTATCGAGTCCATTCATAAGCACAACTATATCCACAGGTCTAGTGAAGCAATCAGCTATCTGAATAAATTTGTAACTCTTGTGTCATTTTTCTTTTTGCTGTTCTAACCATCCATTTACTTCTCCAATTTGTTACAGAGATATCAAGCCTGATAATCTGCTACTCGACAGAAGCGGCCACATGAAATTATCAGATTTTGGATTATGTAAGCCGTTAGACTGTAGTATTCTCCAGGAAAAAGATTTTGTAGTTGCACACAACCTTAGTGGGGCTCTACAAAGTGACGGCCGCCCTGTGGCATCGAGACGCACTCCCTCTCAAATGGAACAACTGCAAAACTGGCAGAGAAATAGAAGGATGCTTGTGAGTTTATGTTATGAAAATCGGTCTTTTCTTTTTCTGAGATGTTCACTTTTGCAAGACTGAACACACAGTTTTCTCTGTTAAACTAAAGCGTATTAAGTGAATGTTTATCTTTGTAGGCTTATTCTACAGTTGGAACTCCTGACTATATTGCTCCAGAAGTTTTGTTGAAGAAAGGATATGGAATGGAATGTGATTGGTAGGTGCTGCAAATCTGTTGGGTCTTGTTTCTTTAACTCAAATAAATTGTTGTTGATGATTTGTTTTTGGGTTTTATTCCTTTAGGTGGTCTCTTGGTGCGATCATGTATGAAATGCTTGTGGGGTTTCCACCATTTTATTCAGATGAGCCAATGACAACTTGTAGAAAGGTAACCAATCCTCACTTTTTATACGGGCCTTCCATTCAAATATCGGATTTTATACGGTTCTAGACTTCTAGTAATCTCAAATTTTGCATTCGATTTAGTTCTTGATCTTCTAATGATACATCTCTGCATATCTTCTTATTCTTTTTAATGCAGATAGTAAATTGGAGAAATTATTTAAAATTCCCGGATGAGGTTAGGCTATCACCGGAAGCCAAGGATCTAATTTGTAGACTTTTATGCAACGTAGAACAAAGGATTGGAACAAAAGGAGCAAATGAAATTAAGGTGCTTTGTGCTTTAAAATTCGAAGTTCCCTGTGTCTAAAGACTATCGATAAATGCCTAAAAAACACTTTTTGCTGGCATTTCTTGTAGGATCACCCTTGGTTCAGAGGTGTCGAATGGGAAAAATTGTATCAAATGAAGGCTGCGTTTATTCCCAAAGTCAATGACGAGCTAGACACCCAAAATTTCGAAAAATTTGAAGAGGTAAAAACTAAGTGTTTCGATCAGAACGGTTTACATATTTTAATAATGGCAACGGTCCAATGATGCATATGCAGCTGTTGATATAGAACTAATATGAATTCTTCTGTAACAGACTGACAAGCAAGTTCCGAAGACGCCAAAATCAGGTCCATGGAGAAAGGTACAAAATTTTCTTACTTTCATGTCTCATATACAATGTGTTGTCATTAGCATTCTTAACATGAGAGTGTCTTTGTTTTTGTTTCTCTCCAGATGCTCTCATCCAAAGACATAAACTTTGTGGGTTATACGTACAAGAACGTTGAAATCGTAAATGATGATCAGTTACCAGGAATAGGTAGATCTCACCTACATAACGAATTTGACTTGTAAGTATACGTATTCCATGTTTGCTCTGTTGTAATTTGTGTTTGTGTTTACTGTTGCAGCTGAGCTAAAGAAGAAGAGCACAAAGCCGAAGCGGCCATCAATTAAATCCCTCTTTGGTAAATGCATTTCCCATCTAAAAGACATTACATATATAACATTATCACAATCTATGTCAATTCATTGTCTCAGAATTGTCTGATATTATCATATAGTTTTAGCTCTAACAAGAATTGTTTTTTAAAAAAACATTTCACAGAGGATGAATCAGCCAGTAGCACCACAAGCCACCAAGGAAGCTTCATGAAACTCTTGCCACCGCAGATAGAAGTTCCAGAGAAAGAAGGCAATTCCAGCTCATCTAGTGAAACCCTATCATCCTCAACCACGCGTTTCGACAATGCCACAGCCTGAACCAGACTCTTTGGTCCCGGTTAACACACCAAAAGACGGTTGAGGTAGCGGATTTACGGTTGGAGAAAATACAGTTTCCTTTGTGGCAGTGAAGGTTATGGTGGGAGATTGAATTGTTTGATTGTGGGGAATAGAGAAGGTTAAAAGGATTGTTCAACAGTTTCCACATAGGATAATGTTTGGTTGTTCAAAAGGTTTAGTTTGAAGCCAAAAGTAAGTAAATAGTCATTTTCAGAATTTGGGTTTTATTTATTTGTTTGGGTAAATCAAATTTGGTTTGTACCACACAGTTCTAAAGAGGAAAATGTTTATCAACATATTTTGATTTGGTTTGATTGAAATTCCGGTTCTGGTATGGTTTTCTTTTGTATCGGTTCTCATATTTATAGCCACGTGTTAACAATTTCTTAGTAATGGATTTGGGCCAGGCCCATTATCAAAGCCCAATCTATTTCTCAATGAAACATATACAAAACAAACCTAATTAAAGTGAAGCAGAAGCTGTAATTCACTAATTCTTCTTGCGAACTCTCTGAAAGATGCAGGTTTGTCTCTTTCGATTCGAAACCCTAATTTTTGTTTTTGTTCTTGTCTTCAATTTTATACAGTTTCTTGAAGATTAAACTTAGCATAGTTGAAATCTGGGAAGAATTTGCCTTAGTTCTTATAAAGGTTAGGTTTTTAAGCATCAGATAGTTATGTAATTTCACTTTTTGTTATGTGCAGGCAAGTGATAGGTTTAACATAAATTCTCAGCTTGAGCATCTTCAAACTAAGTATGTTGGTACTGGTCATGCAGATTTAAGCAGATTGTAAGTTTTTTTCACTTTTTTTTGGATTTTTCATGATTCTATAGTTGTGGACTAATTTGAATGTGTATGTATATGTATGTTTTTGTGTAGTGAATGGGCTGTGAACATTCAGCGTGATAGTTATGCTTCATACATTGGTCACTACCCGATGCTTTCTTACTTTGCAATCGCTGAGAACGAATCCATTGGCCGTGAACGCTACAACTTCATGCAGGTTTTGCTCTCTTTTTTTCTTGCATCTCGTAGTTTCATGTCAAGGAATTATATTGAGAATGTTAGTGTGTTAGTGTCTAAGGGATAGGAACAATCAGGGTTGTTTCAAACAGGGTAAAGCGTTCCTGCTGCTATCCTTTTCCTGTTGCAGAAGCCATTAAATATCTTTCTCTTCTGGGTCTCAAGAGCACCTGCGTTATTATCAAGTTTTTCAAGTATCTCTTAAAGAACTTTGGGATTTCAAGATCTTCTCCTAGATGTTTTGGAAGAAGAGTGCCTTTAATCTAAGAAATGATCTTGAGACCCGAAGTTTTTTGAAGAGAAACCTAAAAACTTGATATCAACGAATGTGCTCTTACACGCAACATTCCTCCTTATGATGCATCAGCAACAACTCCTTGGAAACCATACCCTTTAGAAAAGATCATTGAAAATGGAGAATGGAACTTACTCAACGATATTTCCTGGCTTCTGCAACCGGAAAGGGGAGCAGCATGAAACTCTTCTAACGCTTACCCTGTATTTGTCCACAACAGATTGTTTCATATCTTAAGTTAGCAGGAAACTACGAATCTTGAAGGTTGTTTCAAACTGATATCTTATGGTTCTTTTGTCCAATATTTAGAGTCAGTGATTTTGCATTTTTGCTAATAGCTTTTACTTAAGTTTATGCGGCTCTAGAATTTGTAGGTCTAGAACTCCTAATAGATTGAAATTCGCAAGGCCGAATTAACCCTTCCCTTCTAATCCAGGATAATATCAAACTCATGTTTCCCTTTTGTTTATAACTCACAAATTCTTTGATTTTTGCAGAAAATGCTTTTACCTTGCGGCCTTCCTCCAGAAAGAGAAGACGAGTAAGAGCTTACAACAAGTGTGCGTGTGGCAATTGTAATCAGAAAACATTCTACTTCTTAGAACTCCTCTTCTTAGCACTGCTGTGCCCATGTAATTGTCAAAAAGGCTTCTTCTTGTTTCTAGTTCATAATGCAGTTCTTGATTGTAGTGTTCCGAATCGATTGATACCGCGATTGTTGAGCATAATCGAAACATTTGTACTTCAGTTACTGAATGAAAAACTCAAGTCTTTTTGCTACTCGAACTACTATTGCAAAAGAATTGAATTTGAAGAGGACATAAATGAATGAACCAAAAAAAAAAATAAAAAAAAAATCAAACCTTTATGTTTGCTAATGGTGAATCTCTGAAGAGACAAAAATGAGTTCATCAAAAGCCCTAATCAAAACCCTGATTAAGAACCCTACTCGCATCAAATCCAAATCTCAAGCTAAGCAGCTTCACGCGCAATTCATCAGAACTCAATCACTCTCTCACACATCTGCTTCAATCGTAATCTCAATCTACACAAACCTTAAACTTTTGCACGAAGCTTTGCTTGTTTTCAAAACCCTCGAGTCTCCTCCTGTTCTCGCATGGAAGTCAGTAATCAGATGCTTCACCGACCAGTCTTTATTCTCCCGTGCTTTGGCTTCGTTCGTGGAAATGCGAGCTTCTGGGAGATGCCCAGATCACAATGTGTTTCCTTCTGTGCTGAAATCGTGTACGATGATGATGGATTTGAGATTTGGTGAGTCTGTTCATGGGTTTATTGTTAGGCTTGGTATGGATTGTGATTTGTATACTGGTAATGCGCTTATGAATATGTATTCTAAGCTTCTTGGTATGGGTTCTAAGATTAGTGTAGGTAAAGTGTTCGACGAAATGCCTCAAAGAACCTCCAATTTTGGAGACGAAGATTTAAAGGCGGAAACTTGCATTATCGCCTTTAGGAATAGATAGTGTGAGGAAAGTTTTTGAATTGATGCCTAGAAAGGATGTTGTGTCGTATAATACTGTCATTGCAGGGTATGCACAGAGTGGAATGTATGAAGATGCTTTGAGAATGGTTAGGGAGATGGGAACTAGTGATTTAAAGCCTGATGCTTTCACTTTGTCTAGTGTGCTTCCGATATTTTCTGAGTATGTGGATGTTCTTAAGGGAAAAGAGATTCATGGGTATGTGATTAGGAAAGGGATTGATAGTGATGTATATATTGGGAGTAGTTTGGTTGATATGTATGCTAAAAGTGCTCGGATTGAAGACTCGGAAAGAGTGTTTTCTCACTTGTATCGTCGGGATAGTATCTCGTGGAACTCGCTTGTAGCTGGGTATGTACAGAACGGTAGATACAATGAGGCTCTGAGATTATTTAGGCAAATGGTGAGCGCAAAGGTTAGGCCAGGAGCTGTGGCGTTCTCAAGTGTGATTCCTGCTTGTGCTCACCTAGCTACCTTGCACCTTGGGAAACAACTTCACGGATATGTATTAAGAGGTGGCTTTGGGAGAAATATATTCATAGCTAGTGCACTTGTCGATATGTACTCAAAGTGTGGAAATATTCAGGCTGCTAGGAAGATTTTTGACAGGATGAATCTACACGACGAAGTATCATGGACGGCTATTATAATGGGTCATGCGTTACATGGTCATGGGCATGAAGCAGTTTCGTTGTTTGAGGAGATGAAACGGCAAGGAGTGAAACCGAATCAAGTGGCCTTTGTTGCTGTACTAACTGCTTGTAGTCATGTGGGGTTGGTTGATGAGGCGTGGGGATATTTCAACAGCATGACTAAGGTTTATGGTTTAAACCAGGAGTTAGAACATTACGCAGCTGTAGCGGATCTTCTAGGCCGTGCAGGGAAATTGGAAGAAGCATACGATTTCATTTCAAAGATGCGTGTTGAACCGACGGGTAGTGTCTGGTCTACCTTATTGTCTTCTTGCAGCGTTCACAAGAATCTTGAGCTAGCCGAGAAGGTAGCAGAGAAGATATTCACAATTGATTCTGAAAACATGGGAGCTTATGTTTTGATGTGCAATATGTATGCGTCTAATGGGAGATGGAAAGAAATGGCGAAACTGAGATTAAGAGTGAGGAAAAAAGGATTACGTAAAAAGCCAGCTTGTAGTTGGATCGAAATGAAAAACAAGACTCATGGGTTTGTTTCAGGAGATAGATCGCATCCGAGTATGGACAGAATCAACGAGTTTCTTAAAGCTGTAATGGAACAGATGGAGAAAGAAGGTTATGTTGCAGACACAAGCGGCGTGCTTCACGATGTAGACGAAGAGCATAAGAGAGAGCTTTTGTTTGGACACAGCGAGAGATTGGCTGTTGCATTTGGTATCATCAACACAGAACCTGGCACAACGATTAGAGTCACTAAGAACATAAGGATTTGCACGGATTGTCATGTCGCGATCAAGTTTATCTCGAAGATCACGGAGAGAGAGATTATTGTAAGGGATAATAGCAGATTCCACCATTTTAACCGTGGAAGCTGTTCTTGTGGAGACTATTGGTAATGAAGTGTGAAACTTTTTTGACTTCATGTTTGTTCAGATTCAGAGCGACGTCGCATAGGGAATATATGTTTCATTACACAGATTGTAGTGTTAGCCAAAGAAATGTATTGTTATCTCTTGTTTTAATGGAATTCAACCAATTTGTAAATGGAAAAAATATAGAACAATCATGTAGAAATTGACAAAGACCAAAATATTGTTTTTGCTCAAAAAAAAAGTAAAGTGGATTTTGCATGGTTTTGTATTTATTTATCAGACAATAAATGGGAATGTTTGGACATAAATATATGATCTGTTGTGTATACAACAACAACAGACAGAAGCTGACCCATTTATACCAAAATTTCACATTATTATTCATTGCCCATGATAAACCATAGCCATTGGATCCTTTTTTTGGCACTAGGAACATTCATTTTCTATGTAGTGGAAAATCGACTAGTCGTTATATTATTATAAAATATGTTGATTACATATTTATGATTGGATTTGATTGTTGACACAACGAAATGACGAATTTTTTTGTTAACAAAATGGCTATATATTAAATTAAATAAAAAGTGGCTATATATTATTCGAAAGATTGGTAAAATATTATTTTAAATTAAACATAGAAATAAAATTATCATGCAACAAAAATGACTGTTACCATCTAATTAGAGCCTAAAAATGGTCACAACTCACAATACAAGTTTTAACTTTTACGGTTCAGAAAATTTGCGTTACCACCAATTTCTTACCAACTCGTCTTATCGCAATGTCGATTGATGACATAGTTAAAGAAAAGTTACCGTAGTGGTATAAAAATTTAACCGAAATGTAGTGTACATAGAATAAGCATTGTATTTCTTGGATCGTTTATGTTTGAACCCATGTTAAAAAAATCGCTAGGCGCTAGTCGGGCGGTGTGGGTGGGCCTAGCGCTTAGCAAGAAAATCGGAGATTAAATGGGGATTAATCGGGGACTAGTTTTAAGACTATTTAATATTTTAAAAACATATTAATCCATTATAAATAAGAAATTTATATAATATTGTTTTTAAAATTACATTAAACACATGAAAACAAGAATTTAAGGTCAAAGTTATGATTTTTATAAAAATTATGAATATAAATGGGACGTTTTGATTTTTTGATCAAAAAAAAAATGTAAAAAAAAAAAAAGATTGGGGTAGGCGCCGTCTAGGCGGGCTAGACGGACGCCTAGGCGGACATACCGATTTAGACAAAATCGCCGCGGTCTCCACCCGATCAGCCGTCTAGGCGGCTAGGTGGCCGATTTTTAGTACATGGGTTTGAACTATATTTACTTTTACGATTTCTCTATCAATTGTTTATCTATGATTCATTGTTTTCACTATTCTTGCAAATATTTTTGCTCCTTGCATTTTATCATTAACATAATGCTACATTTCAGAATGTGCAATTTACCGTAAACCTTAAACTCTAAACCCTAAATATGCAATTTGCCGTAAATTGAAAAGCTAAGGATTATTTGTTGTGCTGATTATCATCAAACTCTTTCTTTTAAACATTATTGGTGTTTGGGAGAGTCGGTAACACAAAGCTTACTTCGCTTTTAGTTTTCTTGTCTTGTCTTTTCCTTGACTTTGGTTTTTGCTTGGCTCTACATCGATCGTTCATAATTTGGCAATTTTCTAAAGAAAGCAAAAAACATTAAAGAAACTTTTGCAGCCATCTATCTTTATTAAATTCAATCAATGCAAGTCATAAAAATATATTTTTAATAGAGTAGATATCTTTTTTTTTTTTTGTCGACAGAAATAAAAAAGAGAGAGTAGATATAGAGTTGAGAGTTCTGACCATATTCCATATTAGAAGAACAACCTTCATAAATTATAGAGTGGATTTGGTATATAAAAAAATAGTTAAGAGAAAAATTAGGTAAAGTAATAGAAAATTTTATGAAATTTGCATCACTATGATGAGAAGCTCAAACATCCAATGATAATAATGAGAGAAAAAAATTAAGAATATAGTGACAGTTTTTTTCTTCTTAATGCACAAAAATATGCATCCTTGCATTATTATTCAGTTTTTGTTTTTACATCAACCCTTCGTTTATCCATTATACACTTGTTTCTCTGTCCTTTTTTATTTTTTATTTTATTGTGTTTTTTTTTTTTTTTTGCGAATAATATAATAGAGTGGGAAAGTAACAGTACTAAAATATTATTATTTGTTCGTTTATTTTCCCTTTCCCGTGACTAAAAATATTTTTTTAATAAAAGTAGTAATGATAGAGAAGATTGAGATAAATAAATAACATCCGTCAAAACCATCTGTCTCTGTTTCTCTTTCGTCTCCTCTACTTCTCCAGTCGGTCATCAAACCATTTCTTCAAGATTATCCTCAGAAAATATAGAAACTCCTCAGAAAATTCTTTCTGAACTTTTACTAGCAAATCTTGATTAGGGGTTTAGCTTCCTTTTACTATTTTGTAATGATGAGAATGTTATATTAAGTGAGTCATTAACCGCTTTGTAAGTAGTATTTATTGGAATCGAAACGATGGATCATGTATTCGGTGGCAAGTTCAAGTTAGGTAGAAAGATTGGTAGTGGATCATTTGGTGAACTTTATATAGGTATCATTCATTATTTGATAGTTCTTTTGGTATTTTGTTCTTTAGAGTAAATCTGATAATAATATTGATTTTGGTATGTGTAATTACAAGGGATTAATGTTCAAACTGGAGAAGAAGTTGCTCTTAAGCTGGTATGTTACAGATTAGTGAATCTTGAAACATGTTGTGACACTAGCTTTTATTGAATATGAAAATATTGTTGATTCTTTTGTTTTTGTTCTCTATAAAGTAGTTGTTGATCTGTTCTTATACATTTCTTTGTTGGTAGGAACCTGTGAAGATAAAGCATCCTCAGCTGCATTATGAATCAAAAGTATACATGCTTCTTCAAGGAGGAAGTGAGTTTTTCATATCTCAGCTCATTTCTCTTAACGTTTTTGTTTCCATTTGTCTGATTTCTTTTGGTTTTCTTTTTGAGCAGCGGGTGTTCCGCATCTCAAATGGTTCGGTGTTGAGGGGTATTACAATTGTATGGCGATTGACCTTCTTGGTCCAAGCTTGGAAGACTTGTTTAACTATTGCACTCGGAATTTTTCTTTGAAAACTGTTCTAATGCTTGCTGATCAGTTAGTAAGTATACATACCCTTTTGAGTTCATGATATCGAGATAATGTTCGGTTGCTAATGTTAGCTCTTTTGAATATTACTGCAGATAAACAGAGTTGAGTATATGCATTCTCGAGGATTTCTTCACCGTGATATTAAACCGGACAACTTTTTGATGGGTCTCGGTCGCAAAGCAAACCAGGTAAGGCTTTCTAGTTTCGGCTTTAGTATGTCGTATAATTGTTCTTAGCATCGAGTATGGTGTGACGAGTTTAGAATTCAACCTCAGGTGTACATTATTGATTATGGGCTTGCTAAAAAGTATAGAGATCTTCAGACACACAAGCATATACCATACAGGTGAGAATACTTGCTTGTTGGTTATTTTGTTGTGCTTCACTAGAAATGAGTATTGATGTTCTTATGCATCTAACTAAAGAAACTTATTATTATGTAGTTGGATCTTTCTTTAAACAAGAGTCTATCTGCATTGGTGTTTTTTTTTTACATTTCATATATTTTTGATAAGATAACTTTCTATCTTTCCTAGGTTGATTCAGGTCTTATGCTTGGTAATTTCCTATATGCACTCTTCTTGAAACTTTTACAGGGAAAATAAGAATCTAACTGGAACTGCTCGGTATGCAAGTGTCAACACACACCTTGGGATCGGTGAGAAATGTTTCCATGTCACACATCTGAATTGCTTTCATGATATATTTGTAACATTTCTTGTATCTTCTTGCAGAGCAAAGTAGGCGAGATGATCTGGAGTCTCTTGGTTATGTGCTGATGTATTTCCTACGAGGAAGGTAGGAAACTATCTTTGACTGTGTATTAATAGTGAAATCTTAAAGAAACATGAAAATCCTTAAACTTTGGATGGCATGTATCTTCTTGTCTCAGTCTACCATGGCAAGGTCTAAAAGCTGGTACCAAGAAACAGAAATATGAAAAGATTAGTGAAAAGAAGATGCTTACTCCAGTAGAGGTACGTCATTGTCTATAATAGAGCTTTTGTATCGCGAAAAGACGATGTTTAGCTTTTTCTTGAACTTTTCGATAAACATGATTTTTCTGTTTGCAGGTTCTTTGTAAGTCATTTCCATCTGAGTTCACATCATATTTCCATTACTGTCGATCATTGAGGTTTGAGGATAAACCAGATTATTCATATCTGAAAAGACTTTTCAGAGACCTTTTTATTCGGGAAGGTTAGAAACCTCTACCGTATTTTTGAAGTGTAAGAAAGACTCTTTCGGTATATGGACCATTTACACCACTCATGCAGGTTATCAGTTCGACTATGTGTTTGATTGGACAATCTTGAAATATCCTCAGAGTGGCTCTATTTCGAAACCAAGAGTTAGTGTTTTTTGCGTCAATATGTGATGATGAACAAACTTTTAGAAACCGTAAACTACTCTGAAAATCTCATATTTGTCTTATGTTTTGTCTCATTTCCATCAGCCAAATCCAAAACCAGCTCTAGACCCTCCAGGACCATCTGCGGAACGAAATGAAAAGCCTCTAGGTATAACTTGATTTTGTCTTACGCTGAGATGGTTGAAGTATAAACTCAGAAGTTAATTTCCTATTTTTGTTTAGTCGGGCAGGATTTGCGAGAAAGATTCTCAGGTGCAGTTGAAGCATTCACTAGACGAAATGTATCGAGTCATGGTATTCGCCCTAAGCACATTTTTTCTGATGATGCTTCCAAAGAAGTGGTTAGTTTGCTATTTGGTATCTTTCTTTGCATCCTCTATAGATGTACCTCGTTTGCGAATCATGTTTATTTTGCTGAGTGTTTGGTATCAATCATGAGAATCATTTACTTCATCATCCAAAGTGATTGATCTCATATTGATGTTTGTTGCAATACGCAGCAAGTGTCTGAAAAAACCCGAAATGAGATTGCTACAAAGATGGCAGTGATATCAAGCAGCCAACCTGGCTCATCAGGTGAGCTTAGTGAGAACCGCTCAAGTAAACTTTTTACAAGCGGTGCCCAAAAGATTCAACCGGGTCAAGAAACTAAGTCATCCACAAGGCTTGGGCGTGATGACGGCCTGAGAAGCTTCGATCTGCTTACTATCGGTTCTGGAAAGCGGAAATGAGTTACCGGAAGAAGATTGTGCAAGTTTGGAAGAATCTGAAAATGTGTAAACAATGAAAAAATCTATAGTCCATTTTTCTCTGTTTACCCTTTTGAGAGGAGAGAAAGTAATCTGTCTCCCGCTTTGTGTTTATAGTTGTTCATAAAATTTTATAAAGTGGTATATGTAACTTGTAACACAAGTACTTTGTTTATATTAGTTCAAATTTGGTCAAACACTTAAATCTATTAATAGACGACGTCAAGTGTCTCCTGAAGTGTCTGAATCTAAAAATAAGGGTTACCAACGAGAATGTTTGGTCTTAAGGTCACATTTAAGTTGACTAATGGAGACAGAAGAGAGCATTCAATTTTTGGTTTTCAAGAATCTAATGATGGGGACACTTTGGTTTGGAGAAATCAGGAAACAAGCCTCTTCGTTTATTCAAGACAAGTACAATGTTGCTAGACTTGTCCTCACCGATGTTACCGAAGCTGAGTTGTGAGTATATAGACTTACTAAAACTTAATTAGCTATAACTAATACTACTCCATTAGTGATGATTACATTTAATTCTTAGGTTAGTTGAAGAGGTGACAAATGATGATCCTTCTTCACCAGACGCTAAAACGGTGACGAAAATAGCCGAGGCATCGTTTGATACTGTGGACTATTGGAGAATTGTGGATGTTCTTCATAGAAAGTATGAATTAGTTTTGTTTCTCTTGGAGATTATTATTATGATTAAGGTATAATTAAGATGATTATATATGATTGGGAAAGAGGAAGGGGAAATGAAGAAGTGGAGAGAAGCGTACAAAGCAATGGTGTTGTTGGAGTTTTTACTAACACATGGTCCTCTTCATTTGCCTCATGATTTTCTTTATGACTTGGATCATTTTCGATTCCTCTCTACTTTCCAATACGTTGACGATAATGGGTAATTATTATTCCAAAATCTCCTTAAAATTTGACTTTGAATTTCAGAAAATGCCCCCAAAAATACAATTATTTTAGCTACTTGAAGTCTAGGTTCCATGGAAATTCCGTCCGAGATTCGTTTTCCTCTTGTAAACACGGAAAAACGCAATGGAAACACTAATCCTAAAAAATTCCGTTTTCGAACGCTATGAAATCTTAATAAATAAATCATTCGTAAATACAATGAGATATGTTATTTTCTTAACTTAGAAACCTAATTACATGCATTTGAACATTCAGATGTCTCATTTATAAACATTTTTTTTTGTTTTCTTGATATATTTATCAAATGTCTCATTTCTAAAGTTTTCTTTAATTTTTTTCGCTTATTAGGTTTGATTGGGGAGCTCAAGTTCAGAAAAAGGCAGAGCAAATACAAACTCTTCTTTTAGGAAAAGAAGAATTAAGAGAAGCTCGTCTTAAAGCTCTCAAAATCACTTCCCAAATCAATGGCTTTGGTAACTCCACCACATTCTCTCCTTCTCCTTCCCCATCTAACTCCTTCTCTCCCTTAAAAACCTCCAATTCAACACCAACCAAAAGAAACAATCCTATATCCGAATCCGATTCATTAATCGACTGCGAAAACAAGCTCACGGAGAAGGATCGAACCGGTGAAGAGACGCTAATCAGCGGAATCTGCTCCAAACTCGCCGGATTTAGTCCTTTGAAGAAATTTAACGGTGGTCGTACCACGGCGGCAAAATTTCAAACTTTGTCGAACGTTGAGAGAGTTTCAAGTAAATGTTACGATCGTCGCAATTCTATTGGCTACTAAACAAAAACCGGTTCGGTTTTAAATTTTAATTTCGGTTCTGGTACAAAACATCCGGTTTAGTCAAACCGAATTACAACGCAAGAAATGCTGCTTTTGCTAATCCTGTTTAAAGCTTCTTTAGCTAAACATTTTGCAGCTTCTTTAGGATCTTCTATGTGTCTGATTAGATTAATCGCTTCTTGATTCTTCATAACCTGTAACCAAATCATACTCGTTAACGATTTCGCTTAGTGATTCATCAATCTGTATTTTGATGGATCTTGATCTTACCTCCCAAATTCCAGAGCTACCGATAATGATAAACTCTGTATCTGTATTAATCTTCTCTGTAATCACTACAAGTTCTGAATTTCTTTGATCTGATTCATCTTCTAAATCTTCTTGATTACAAACTGAGATTAGATTACATGTAAAGACTTAATTCTCATTTCTTTTTCTTGTAACACAAGTATCCTAAGCGGATATTCGGGTTTGAAGGAACATACCTGGGAAAATAAATTGTGACCAATGTTTTGAGGATTTCAGGTTTTTATCTCTGATTTGATGAGCCTCGCCGTCTCTGCAAACCACTACTCTATGGCCCCCGATACTCGCCATGGCTAGCTTTTCTCCGTTCACCACCATAACCGAAGCGGCTGAGCCACCGGTTCTCTCTTCCTCCACGTACGCTCCTCTCATTGTCTCTTTACACTTTCTCATAATTCCGAGCTGAAAATGTCTCAAATACATTTTAATTCACTTTTAAAAATGAAACAATAACACTAACATAACATGTTAGACTATATTTTCTAGTCATAATTTAATTACCTCATTGGGGAGCTTATCAAAGAGATGGTTTTGCATATATTTGACAATCTCTTTCCCTCTTTCAGCTTTCGAAACTCCAAAGAACCAAATCTCAAGCTCTTCACTGTGTTGCTCTCTTTGTACAAAAACCGAATCATCATTCGATGAATTGTCGATATTGCTTAACCGGTCAACGGTATAGAATCCATGAGAAACCGGAGTTAACCATGATGGTTTATTCTTCTTCCTTCTCCTTCCATCCTCAACTACAAGTCGTCTAAATTGGAACGCCTGTTGGATTCAACGATCTTTAATTCAATACAAAAAGTAAATCAAACAATCTTGTATTTGGAGAATTATAAAAGGAAGAAAGATGAAAATATGACCTTGAGCATGAAAGGGAGATCTAAGAAGCCCATCCTCGTTCATAGCTTCTTAATTTGCTTACTATCTTATAAACTTCAAATAGCTTTTGATAAAAACAAGAAAACTTTTTCGATTCTCACAATTTCAAAGAAACAGACTTTTTCAATTGCAAGATACACTTTCTTAAGTCAATTTTGCATATTATAAAATAAGAATTCAGGTGTATATTTGTTAAGTAACGGTAGGAAACTATATATAAACAAGTTATAAGCATTTAGAATGTTGTCGAGAAGACGCTTAATGTGAATAGTTTAACAAAGCGTCATATAGTAATTACTAATTAGTAACGTAACGTACGCCTTTTGTCTTTATCTAACTTTGACTACGTAGTCTACGTTTACGTTTCATCAAGAAAAAAAAACCTACTATACGTTTACGTTCCAAAACCTTAAAAGACAAGCATTGGATATATTATATTTTATTAAGTTATTTGCATTCTATGACAATGAGAAAATCATTATAGAAAATAACGAGGCTATATTAATTTACACTATAATAAAAAAAAGAGAGGCTATGTTACACTTTAAAAAACATCTTAAGATTTGGCATGTGCATTAGTATGTATCTTCAAAAAACGATGAAACTAAACTTAGACCCTAGACCGCTTTTGCATGTGCATTTGTGTAACAGAATGAAATAAATTATTCACATTAAGCGTTTTGTCGACAACATTATTTTTTTATGAAAAGGCATGACATATACATGCAAATCATATAAGTAATACAAAAATCTTAAGACACTTTGGAAGATTAGACAAGACAATATTTTTAACTCTAATATTTACTAAACTAGACAAGACAATATTTTTTTATTCCTAATATGTTCTCAGATGATGGTTCTCTAGTTATTGATATTGGTATTTCACGCAAAGATCAGCGGACCAAATTTAGGTCGGGCCAATTGTGGAGCATACTGGACAATGTGTGGATCTAACTCTAATACTACAGTATATTAGAATATGTACTTTCAACTCAAAATAATTTGGCAATAAGTGAATTGTTCCATATATCGGACCTGATTAGTAACAGCCGTAGCTTTCATTTTTTGCTGTAAAAATATATGACTGTAGGTTTATTTGTTGTGGCTGCAGATTTTATTGCTGTAGTATTTGGCTGTAGAATTTAAAATTTTGGAAAGTTGAAAATTATGTTATTTAGGAAAAAAAGCTTTCTACAGCCAACAAAATGAATTAAGGAAATATTTTGGCTTTGAGAAAAAAAAAAGGAAAGCCAAAGCTTCTAAAGCTTGATTGGATGTATTTCAAATCTTTAGAAATTTTTTTGCTTTGTAAATACTCTAAAGCACTTGCCAATCAGGCCCGATCGTATATACTAGTCAAAATCTTTTGTCTTTTTCAATGTGGGATATTATTATCCTTAGTATTAACCTATTTAAGATTGAGTAATTAATAAGGTGAGTAATTAATATGATGAACAATTATTAATGTTTTCATGTAATATTATTGACTTCTTATGTTAAAAGTAAAAAATCAAGTTAAATATTTTCTTAATATGGTTAATGAGTAATTATATTGACTTGTATTACAATATTGTATTTTGTTTCTCTTTATAATTATGATATTTATCTTTCTTAAATATAGTTAGAAATATGCTTATATATACCAAAGTAAGTATGAAGTTTTTAAAGACCAAAACATAAGAGAGAGAGAGAGAGAGAGAGAGAGAGAGAGAGAGAGAGAGAGAGAGAGAGAGAGAGAGAGAGAGAGAGAGAGAGAGAGAGAGAGAGAGAGAGAGAGAGAGAGAGAGAGAGAGAGAGAGAGAGAGAGAGAGAGAGAGAGAGAGAGAGAGAGAGAGAGAGAGAGAGAGAGAGAGAGAGAGAGAGAGAGAGAATGGTGAGGACTTTTATCTTGTATATGTTAATGTTTATGTTATTGGTGAACAAACCAACATCATCCCAACCCAATCCTACATGTAGCGAGACAAAAGGTTTTTACGATTTGTACATTTGTGGTGGCCCTCTTCTTTTGGATACTCCATGGGAGTCTCCATCACAAGAATGCTGCAACTCCTTAAAAATTGATAAAATGTATTGTCTTTGCCAAGGTGTTACAAAAGTTTTCATGCAATATTTTGAGGTAAATAAGCTTCCTAAACTCTCCCAAGCATGTGGCAACCTCTTGACTCCTGGATCTTACTGTGGAAGTAAGTATCATTAAACTTGCATTCTCGAGTTTCATTACTATTATATTTATCTAATTCATATTTTTTCGATGTTTCAGTTTACAAAATTCCTGGTGGTGCTGCATAAAACTAAGCTATTAAATCCAATTATTTAAATTGTGTGAGGAAACTATTATAAATACTAATGTTCAATGATTAATATTGTATGTGGTCAAAAATAGTGATATGGTTTTGACTAACATAAAATGTTTTCGGTTGCTTTTTAGTATATAAAATGTTTTCTTAATAATTATATTTATATATTTGATTCTTATTGACTCGTTCGTTTCAATTGAAAAAAATAGTATCGCAAAAAGCAAGCAAATATTCACTAAATTAGACAAGACAAAAATGTTTTGTCTAGTATCAATCAATTGGGCCGGTTTTGAAATCAAGCAGCGAATTAAACCAGTGAACCAATCGGTTAACTACTAAACCGAAAATTATTAAAACCTGACACAATAAAAAACACACATTATTTTCCGGTTCCAGGCTTCTTTCTTCTTCTACCTCCGTCTCCTCTTAAACCTCAAATAAGGGTTTTTGAGGAAAGCTTCTCGACAATGGCCATTGCTCGTTTACTTTCACCCAAATTAACTCCTCATTTCAACAATAGAGGTGATTACACAAATACCCATTTTCTAAATCGTCCTGATTTTCATTCATAAACCCAAAAGATTCTCATTTTGCAATTTTCTTTTCAAAGTTAGTGTTTAATCGATATTGACGATTCTGGAAAATTTTGATTTTTTTAATAGGTTTTGTACCTTTGACGCGGAGGTGGTTATCTTCTTCTATTGAGGATGGTCGGAAATATGAGAGATTGCCAGATTCTGAAGCTTCCACGAACAAGTGAGTACACTTCGATGGGTTCTGTGTGTGGAATTTTGATGAAGTTAGAATCTTTTTTGTCATAAGAAGAAACTGAGTAATGGGTTTTGATTAATTTTTAGTCTTAGTGAAGAGTAATGAAGCTATACTTAGAAACCAAATTAGGAAATGGGTTTTTGCTTGGAGTTTGTGGTAGTTTGATTTAATTCATGCCTTTGTGTCTTTGAACTGTGAGTGGCTTTACCTGTGTTCAAAGCTACCAACTTTAAGTTTCATATATTAAGTTACTGATTCAGTTCTCATGTTAATTTGGGTGATGCATTGTTCTCTTAATTACTTTTTGATTTATGATAGTTTTCTGATGTGTAGAGATATTGGCCAAAAGGGAGTGCGTTGGTATTCTTTGGGAGGTTTACTGACTAATCTTAAGCAAAAGATTATGGGAAACGTGATTTTGATGGACAAAAGTTCTGGTGAAGACTCGGTTTCGCCAAAATCACCCGTAGTATCTTCATCAGATGTGACTGCTACTAAAGTTGTCACCTTGCAGAATGTGGCAGAAAGCGAAAAATGTGTCTCTTCTAGTATAAAAGAAGAATCTCCAGTCTCTGAAATGGGATCTGAAGATGCATCTCAAAGTGTTGCTGCAGAAAACAAGAATTGTATCACTTCGAGAGTAAAAGAAGAATCGCCAGTCTCTGAAATGGGATCTCAAGATGTATCTCAAAGTGTTGCAGGAATTGAGACTCCTGAGAAGAGAGAAAGCATATTTGTAAGTAATGAGAGATTAGATAATATTAATAGGTTAGATAGCTTGGAGTTTGGACAGGAGAAGGTGTTGAGATCGATACGCACTGAAAGAGCGGATCCTTCCGAGGAACAAAGTTCTAAAGATGTCGTGTTAGGTTTCTTGACTGAAGAAGTATCGGAAAGTCTGACATCATCTAGGAAAAATATAGGGAAGTTTCAGCCTGAGAAAGGGCTATTCGATAAAGCGAATCCACCTCAGAATAGTCTCTCGAAGTTGTTTGTAAACTCGGATCCATTTAAAGAAGTTAAGCTTCCTCTGAAATTTGAGGCTTTGAGTAACAGTGATTCCAGTATGTCTACTGGAGAATCCTGTATTGATGCGGGTGATCAACACGGCCTATTTGGTAAGATGCTGTCTGATCCTGGCCAGAAAATTAAAAGTATTTCCAAGGAAAATGATAAGCACAGGTTGTCGGATGTTCCTCAAAATCTCGACTCTTTGACATCCGTTCTATTAAGGGATTGGATTGATGATCAGAAGAGTGGAGACCTGGCTGCGATTAGAGAAAGGAAAAGTATTTTTTTGCTTGAAAGTTCTAGAAACACTGTTGTACCTATGGCAGTGGGTAGTATGAAGAAGTTGATGGACTCCCTTAACCTCCCAACTGACAATGGCATGGACGCACAAGCCAACTCGTTGAATGCTAGTAGTAGTGAAGAAAAATCTATATCCAAAAGCAATTCTGCATTTCAAAAAAGTGATGGTTTTTGTGCGACAGAGGAAGAAGAATCCAAAGGGGAAACTTTAGTAATGGAAAACCAATCATTGTGCAGTCAGGCCACTTTGGCAGCTACCACCGCGAATCCTAAGGTAACAAAAAAGAGTTTGTTCGCATTATCTGCTGGAGAACACTCTCCTAACAAAGTACTGCTAAGGTTTTTGCAAGAATCATGTCAGAAGAAACACATCGTTGAAGTGTTTTCTCAGTTTGGAGCCGTTTTGCATGTACAAGAAATTCCCTCTTTTGAAGGGTGCATTTACAAAGATGCTCTCTTAACTTTTGAGGTTAGTTTTTTTAATTTTGAATTCTCTATCTCGAGAAACAGGTCACACTGTCTTCTTGTTCAAACTTTCTTCTTAAAGAGAGTTTTTCTGCTCACCTGCTCTTTGCTTCCATATTTGTAGACTAACACTGCAGTCAAGAAGGCTCTTGAGAAAGGTAGAGTGACGGTGATGAATAACAATGCAGTTGTCGAGGCAACTTCTCAGGAAGACATGGTAGAAAGGATTTGCATTCCGGATCTCATTGGCGATCCAGATGTGCCTGTTGCATTGGTGAAGGAACCATCCCGAACAGTTAAGATTCATCCACTGACGCACGATTTTAGTTCAAATCAGATCAAAGAAGCGCTAAAGTTCTGTAGGAGCAACATATCTAAGTTTATCTTGGGTTCATCGAGAACAGATGCTTTCGTGGAGTTTGAGGTGTGGTTTTATTGTAATTTTTCTTGTTTATCCTCAAAATCCAATGCCAGATCCAGTCAAGATAAATCTTCTACTTGTGCTGCAGACGGAAGACGGCAAAGAGAGAGCACTTGCAGAGCATTCAATCAGCATATGCAATACACAATTGTTTATCTCTAGGATTGATATACCGAGGACAACCGTGGCAAGGATTTCAAACTTGTCGAAATCAGCAATGAAAGATGTACGAGCTTTGTGTGTACCTTATGGACAAATCAAACAGGTATATATCAGGGGAAACGGTGTTGTAGATGTGCTTTTCGATGTCTCTGAGTGGCCAAACATGCTCAACATTCTCAACAGGTAGAACCAGATACCGGAACATCCATTTTCTAAACATAACAAGTGAAAAGTCTTGACTCTTTTTTTTTTGTGTGTTCTTTAAACAGCTTGAATGGTATGGGGATAGATGGTAAGAAGTTGGTGGTTCGACCTGCAACAACGGTAATACCTCCTGAAATTTTGAGGGTATTGTGGAAAGATCCTCAAGAAAAGAGATATGTTAAAAGTGTAATTCAGAATCTGGTGAGAGAGATTGAGCAGCCTTTAGATGCAACTCGTTGCCACACACTCATGACAGATTTACTAGTATAGCTTCATATATTCTTTAACTCTTCAAGATTAGAGCCATTATTTTTGTAAAACGAATCAAAAGAGAGAATTAACTATCCTGACCTCAAAATTAGATATCCGGAAAACCGTCCATTAACTCTTCAAGATTAGAGCCTAGAGCCATTGTTTTTGTAAAATGAAGCTTTATTTATTTGGTAGAATTAAGAATTAATTATGGATTTTGTCCTTTTTCAATAGCATTTGTAGAAATGCCATTTCTCAAGATCTACATATACATTTTTATAGTACATTTTTGCTTTAATTCTTTTGGATCCGGGTTTGACCCGGTTTTAGTCTATTCGGATATTGGATAAGCAATTTTAGGGATGTTGTCTTAATTTCAAACTGATAAATAAAGTCATGTTGTCTTTAATTCATTTACATATTCTTATACTATTTCCATATTAATCATCTCCGGATACTTAGCATTTACCATTCGCAGAATTCAGTTTGTTATTATTACCTAAACTAATTGCCACATTAATCGTAACTTAATAACTTTATTCTCTAATTGATTTCGAATATATTCACAATCTAAACTAATTAATATCACATATCTTATCTCATCTATTGTTCCTTTAAATTCTACTATATAATCTTTTAAACAATTCAAAGAAAGAGTGGTTGGATTAAAATCCAAACTAAAAACAAAACAAAATCACAAAAATCATTTTAAATCTTTTCATATTAACTTTACATAAAACACTAACATTTCTTTTTAACAGATCAATTAGCAATAATCACGTTGATCTTAATCCATTAATTATTTGCCTAAACAACTAACTGAATTTTATACAACTGTTATAGAAATTTTAGAAAAAATTAATCACTTACTATAAATACATTTTAAAAACGTTTAATGCTCAAATCTTTAGTTAAGATTTTGGAAAGAATAATAATTTGAAAATCAATTTCTACTCAGTTTAGCAAATAATTAATTTTTATTCATTGACATAAATATAGATTACTTAAAATAGATCGTAACAATATTTAATTTGATTTGTTTATTTAATTTCACCCATATAATTCTTAATTTAATTTGTTTATTTTTTCTTGCACGAAAGTAGAAGTTTATAGCAATCCTCTTTTGATTTGATCTCATTTTTTAAGCGTGAAAGTATTATTGGAGAAAGAGTAATGTGGTGTACTACTTAAGCAAGGATCAACAATAGGAATGTTTTAAAAACAAAATATATATGTAATTTGATCACATTTATATAATAATTTTATGAATTTACTTAGAAAAAGTTTAACTTTATTAAACGTTTTAAATATGTATAATATTAAAACTTTTATGAAGTTTCAAATATTATAAATATTTGAATTTTTAGAAGAATTTATAAAAAGTTTAAATATTATAAATATTTATAAAAGATATTAATACAGGACAGTATACTACGGGTGAAATCCTAAATATAACAATCAAAATACAATTATGAAGTTTGGGTCGATATTAAAACTTTTATGAAGTTTCAACTATTATAAATATTTGAACTTTATACGAATTTATAAGAAGTTTAAATATTATAAATATTTATAAAAAATATTAATACGAGACGGTATACTACGGGTGAAATCCTAAATATAACAATCAAAATATAATTATGAAGTTTGGGTTGATATTAAACTTTTATGAAGTTTCAAGTATTATAAATATTTGAACTTTATAATAAAATGACAAAATGACGTTTAATTTCACGGGACAGAGTTATATGGTGAGACGGGTTTTGGTCGATATTAATATGAGATGATATACTACGGGTAAAATCCTAGAATTAACAATCTAAATACAATTATACAATCTTAAACACTAAACAAAACAAGACAAACAATATTAATAAAATAAATACAATTTAAAATTTCTAATTATTAGTTATAAAATATTGTCCCAAGGTGTACTATACAGTAGCATATATTTATAAATCATCTTAAAAAAAATATTCAATTTTTTTATTTAATAAAAATATAGATCCGCGGTGTACCGCGGGTTAACATCTAGTTTAGAAACACAATTTTTGAGATTATGCTTGGGTTTATTAAATTACATTTTTTTAAAATTAATTATATTAAATATTTCTTAAAAATCCAGTGGGCTTGGACCAAGGCCTACACGAAAAATGTAAACACTTACAAAAAAAGGAAACCGGAGAACTCGCCGGAAAAATCTAAATGGCTCGATTCCTGTTGAGCATCGTTTGCAGAGAAACCGGAACCTTAGATCCGGCGAAATCAAGACTCACAACTTCGCAGCCTCCTCGAAGGAGCTAGAACACGGTCGGAAGATTTCGGCGAAATTACATTTTTTATAAGGCGTAGAGTTTAGGGTTTAGTATTTATTTCAAAAAAAATAAATTCTCAAATGTTAAGTTTTTTAAAATGGCAAAAAGGGCATAATTCACAAAATTATTAAACAAATGACATTTTGAAAAGATTTTGGTGAAAAGGACGAAATCAACAATAATCCCTTTGTATGCTCAAAAGTGGTTCTACCTCGAGGTGGTAGAATGTAGTTTCACGTATATGAACGAGATAACGTTTGACTATGTCAGATTATTTGATAAACATTATATTAATACATTTATGAACTTTTTATACAAACTCAATTAGTTGTAAATCTTAAAATTTATTCTAAGAGATTTTGTTATTATTTTTCTTTCATGTATACATTAAAATTTTAAATTTCTAATAATTGAGGGATTCATTTTTTTTCTTCCAACTTATAAGTATACATATATATGGAAAGGTAATCAAGGAGAAGTTTTGGAATTCAATTGAAAACCTAAATGTAAAAAGGAAATTATATCTGTAAAATTATTTAAGAAGATAAGTGAATTGCTAAACTATAGCTTAATTTTATATTTATGTTTTGATGAAAATCTGATTCTTTTTACTTAAAATTTAAAAAATTAATTCAAAAGTTTAATGTGCTTTGTGTTTTATGAATGTTGTTGTGTTTAGTATGTAAAACATGTTATGTGATTATTAGTGTCTAAGTTTATATGTTATGATAGTGATTATATATATATATAGCTTTAGAAAGTGTTTTATGTTTAGTGGCATAGTTCTCTCACAGAGTATTCTTTACTCACCCATTTTTTTTTTAATCTGGTGAGTAAACTACATGAGTTGTGTGTAATATTTATGTTCGTGTGTGAAGTTTCAAAAAAACGTTTTGATAAGATCGGCTGAATAACACGTTGTCTTGACCTCTATGGTAGGACGGGTGTTACACTACCGCACACGTTGGGGACTTCGAATTGTGTTTCGTCGGTCATTTCCGCAGCTAATTCTTTTATGAGGGTGGATTGCACAGCCTCTGCTTGATCGATCTCAACGAGCTGGCCGTCAGAGCTTTTCAGAACCAGTTTCTTAGACGACATTTTTTTATTAAGAGAGAGGAAAACAATAAAGTTAGGGAGAGAGAAGATGTAATTACAAGTATTAGGAGAGAGCACTAGAAGTATTTTATAATGGAGAAACCTAAAAGTTTATAATTTTTCCTCAAAAAGACCTAAAAGTTTATAATACAAAAGAATAATTAATCTTAACTTCACCGATTTATTAATTTTATACTTGTCCATTTCTTTTTATTTTTTTGGTGGTACATGCATGCATGTGAACTATATTCTTTGTTGTTGATGCATGTAACGTTTAAGATCAGATTACTACTAGAGAAGAAGATGTTTAAAATTTCTTGATGAACTTCCGAAATGATTTTTTCTTGAGTTTTATAGGATCCTTCCTTAATTTCATATTAAAAAGTTCAAAGGATATTTTTTGAAATTTCGTAGAATCTTTTCTGAATTTCTTGCATTCCGTAGAATTCTTCAAGAACTTCAAAGAATCTTTCATGAATTTCGTAGAATTTGTTTGGCAGAAAAATATTTACAGAAAATTTTGTACATTACAGAAAATTTTTGGCGGAATTTTTTTTTGGCAGAAATATAAGAACTTGTAGAGAAGTAATTAATTAATACTACCTAATAATAATGTCACTTGTGGAAGTTTAAGTTTAGGTGTTAATTTTGTCCATAATTTTGAAAAACTAATGCATTTATGATCTTTTATACAAAAGATTAAATTTAAAGCTAAAAATATATATTTAAGAAGTTTTTATAATTATTTCATTTATATATGGGGTAAATGTCTCAGTAATCTGGAGATTAATTTTTTTTTTTTTTTAAATAGAAGATATATATGCACAATATGGAAGTGAAATCTGTATTTTTGAAACTGTTTAAGATAAACCATTTAATCACTATAAATTAGCTTTTATATCTTTATGGATAAAATTTTGACTATGTGAGATGATATGATAAATAGTCGATTATTGTTTTGTTCAAAAAAAAAAAGATTATTGCATTGGTGAAATTGTTTTTTAGATTATTTCATTAATAGTGATTTTCTTATACAAATATCTTAATTAATTAAAAATTTAAATCTATATTTTTAAGAAACCTTTTAATTAATTTCATTTATATATTCAATAAAAGTTTCCAAGAATTGAAAGACTAAATTTAAATTCATTAAAAAAAACTATTTTAAAAAAAAAAAAAAAAAAAAAACGATTTATGGAAAGGAAATCTGTATTTGCAAAACTATTTAAATAGATATTAGCTTTATAGTAAACTTTTGAGGAAAAATCAGATTCTTTTAAGAAAGTTTTAATAAATTAACTCAAAAGTTTATTATACTTTGTGTGTTTATTGATACACATCATGCATACCCAATTACCGCTAGATACAATTGCGATTCTTTCAACAATGCATGCAGAGGAAGAACTCCTATATATAATGAATGATATAAGAAGAGTGATAAGCAGGAAACGTTGGACAATATAATATAGACTTCAAACTCAATCTCTAACTAAAAAAACAAGAGCTCTTTAAGTTATATTACAATGGAGTTCTGGATTGAAATCATAATAGGCATTGTCATTGCATTGGTCCTCGTGGTGATTGTGTTTGGTTTCCTTAAGTTGCTCGGTGTTAAGTTCACCAAGAAAACAACGACAACAACTGATGCGTGAAGGCAAAACATCTCATTTTAGAAAATT